TGGTCACCGAACTCTTTCCGAGTCAGTCCATAAACACTAAGATGCTGTCATATCCATGCTTGTCCCTTAGGAACTCCTTGAAGTCCATGGTGAGGTATTGCATAGGATATTCGGGTACAGGCAGCAGGTGTAGGAATCCTTGTTGCTTGGTGACATTGGTATGAGAAAGCTGACATGTCACACAATTCCTCACATAGCGCAAACAATCTGCTTCCATCCCGACCCAGTGGTACTTCGCGGCAATCAATTGATAGGTTTTCTGGCCGCTAGGATGTGCCACCGACACCTGGTCATGCGCTTCTCAGATTAGTTTCGTACATAACTCGCTGTGACGGTTCACACATAGCCGGCCTTTGTATAGAAGAAGAAATCAAGTGCAATCCACAACTAGCTTGCTAATCATGTAGTGAACGTAAGAGAATCCCATAGAACCATCTCTTGGGTTCCTAGCCTATAGGAAGTGAAAAGGAGGTCCAAGGTCAGAGTACCTATAGACAAATTATGTCATAACTTAACCAATCTTGTGGGTAACTAAGGAGCGATGACGTGTAATGAATCATAGAGGGTTGTAGAAGCTTCTAGAGCTATCGTTCATGTTCCTAGGCCTCTAGTTGGTAGAGATATGCCATGTGGTAGTATTGGCCCACCCCCTTAAGGAGGAGATTTTCTTAATAACTTGTTCAATAAGTGTCCAAATAATATGCCGTGATGTATGTAGCATAAACAGATGTAGTAGAAGAGTTTGCAGCAATCGTTGAGTAGTATTGCTTCTGTTGTTGGTGTGATAAGCCAAGATATATATGGTGACTTGTAGGTTTGAGGATCAGATTTCTAAGTTTGCTCTTGAGTTTGATAGCAAACTGAGTGCAATGAATGTCAGTATGACACATTCCGCACCCACTATGGCTTGTTCGAATACTTGGTTATGCCCTTTGGTCTAACAAACGCACCAGCATCCATGCAGAGGCTCATGAATGCAGCTCTCCATGAATACTTGGATGTGTTTGTTATCGTCTACCTAGACGATATCTTAGTCTACTCAGGAGACCCAACGGAACACATTGGTCATGTTCGGAAGGTATTACAGAAGTTAAAGGAGAATCGGTGACTCGTCAAGCCGGAAAAATGCGAATTCCACAAGGATCAAGTAGAATTCTTAGGCTACATTGTCGGAACGCATGGCATCAAAATGGACCAAGCAAAGGTCACAGCAGTGTTGGAATGGCCAACACCAACCACGGTCAAAGAAGTACAAGCCTTCTTAGGCTCCCCCAACTTCTACCGGAGGTTTATTATGGGATATTCCAAGGTAGCTCAACCACTTACAGAGCTTACAAGGAAAGACCTTACGTTCAAATGGACAAGCAAGGCAGAGGCTGCTTTTCAGGAACTTAAGACGAAGTTCACAGAAGCACCTATCCTAGTCACATTCGACCCTGCAAAGAAGATTGTCCTCGAAACGGACTCCTCTCACTTCACGATTGGAGCCTGTCGAAGTCAGCCAGACAAAGATGAGAAGCTTAAGCCAGTTGCATATTACTCTAGAAAACTGTCACCCGCAGAGCTCAATTATGACATCCATGACAAGGAGCTGATAGCTATTGTCGTTGCTTTTGAGCAATGGCGAGTATATCTTGAGGGATCAACCTACCCCGTGCAGGTATGGACGGATCATAAGAATCTCATATACTTCACCACAACCAAGGTTCTAAACTACAGACAAGTCCGATGGGCAGAGACACTCGCAGCCTACAACTTCACGATTACATATTGCAAGGGCTCTGAGAATGCAAGAGCCGACGCTCTTAGCAGAAGGACTGACTACATCGGCCCTAAAGAGGAAAGACCTAGAGCCATATTGAAGAAAACAGATGCAGGAATGCAATACAACGAGTTGCTAGCCATGATTGCCACTGTGGAGAACTCGGAGTTGGAAGAAAGACTCAAGAAAGCTTATGCAACAGATGAATGTGCAAAGCGAGTCTTAATAAAAACCGAAGGCGACTTTAGCCATCGATGAACAAGGATTGATCCGATTCAAAGGATTAGTGTATGTCCCAAACAAAATGAGACGCCCGCTAGTGCAAGAACAACACTCGCTACCAGCACACGGCCATCAGGGAGTAACACGCACCTTCGAACGAATCACCCGACACTACTACTTCCCAGGTATGAGGAAGCAGGTGGAAACGGTAGTAAGAGAGTGCGACATTTGCAGCAAATCCAAAACCAATAGGCACTTGCCATATGGACAGCTGAAATCGACTCCAGTACCAACAGGAGCGTGGAAATCTATAGCTTTGGACTTCATTGTCAAGCTACCACCCTCTCGGGACCCGTTAACAGGAGTAGTATTTGACGCTATCCTGGTTATTACGGAAAGACTCACGAAATATGGAATATTTGTGCCATATTTAGAAGCTAGCGATGCTGAAGCACTCGCATACACCTTTCTTCGAGTCATATTAGCCGATCACGGATTACCGGAAGAAATCATCTCAGACAGAGACAAGCTTTTTACTTCGAAATTTTGGAAATCTTTAATGGCGCTTTTGGGAACAAATCATAAGCTATCAACAGCTTTCCATCCCCAAACAGACGGTCAAACAGAAAGACTGAATCAAACCCTTAAACAATACCTACGGAGTTATGTCAACCACCAACAAGACAATTGGGTTCAGATATTACCCATCGCACAGTTCGCATATAACAGCGCGATGACCGAAGCAACAAAAGTCTCATCGTTCTTTGCCAATTACGGCTATCAGCCAGAGGCATATAGACAACCACGACCGGATGAATCAAGAGCAGAACAAGCTATGATCACCATGGAACAACTCAAATCGTTCCATGAACAACTCAAATCGTTCCATGAACAACTCGCGACAGACATCCAATTCTTAAATGAACGATCTGCCGTATGCAAACAAGAAGCGCAGTATGGAACCTGCCTTCAAGGAGGGGGATAAAGTATATCTACTCCGGAAACACATCAAAACGAAACGACCAAGTACAAAGTTGGACTTCAAGAAATTGGGACCATTCAAAATATTGAACAAAGTCAGCTCAGTTAATTACAGACTGCAGCTACCCAAGAAGTCTAGACTACACCCGGTATTTCATGTCTCACTACTGGAACCAGCAAGAGGAAGCACCCCAATTGCGACCGATACAGAACTTCAACCAGAGAATGAGATTGTTGAATACGAAGTTGAAGCGATCCTAGATAGAAGGTTAGTAGGACGCAAAGAAGAGTTTTTGATAAAATGGAAAGGTTATGAACCTACGGACAATTCATGGGAAACGGTCAGAAACCTTAGCTGTCCAGAGCTACTGGAGGCGTTTCGCCGTCGACACCCAAGCGATCAAAGAAGCCAGGAGACAGGGCCATGAAAAGGTCCTGGTCAGGGGCAGCACCCTCGGAAACGGCAGTAGAAGGGCTGTGCAAGAGAGTCCCTTTGACCTCTGCCTCCCTACACTCCTTCTCCTCTGCTTCATCCAATTCGTCCAAAGATTTCAGACCACGATGCAGCATCTCAACACCGCGGGTTTTGAGAGCCTTCTGCTGTTTGCGAAGACGCATGCGACGGGCATATGCTTCTTGAGCGCAGAGGTGAGCCTCTCGCTCCTGAGATGCCGCCGCTTCCTCTTCTACCTCAAGACGCTCTTCTTCTTTTCGAAGCTTCTCCCAATCAGTTGGAGAAGGGGCGCAAGCGTTGCATTTGGAATTGCGACGAGTACATTCACTACAACGATGACTACCAGCAACAACAATACAGAATTGATTGTTGTGAAGACAGCTGGAACATGGCGACATTAGGTTGCCGTTCTTTTCAATACGGTCTGCAAGAAGATGACGTTCTTTGATTTTTATGTGTCTACTAGAAGACATGGTAAGCAGCGCAACCTGCTCGACAATTAAGTGGGCATCACCCTACTTAAGTAAGCGATTCCTTAATTAGCAAGACCTAAGGGACTAGGCCTTTTGGAGGAGGACCTAGTGTTATGGCTACGGTAACGTGACGTCATGGTTACAGGACCAGGGCCTAGTAACGTGACGTGTGAGTCACAGGGGGCAAGCGGGGTAGGCTGCCATGTGACGGGGCTAATGGATAGTTGCAGAAACTAGTGGATATTGGATAGTTGAGCTATCCATGAACTATCCTGAATATCTAGCTATCCGCCAACTATCCAGATTACCCATGAGGCATGACGCCACTATATAAGTAGATAGTATTTCCTTAGATAGGAGCTTCGTGCTCAACTCAATATAGTATTCTTTACAATACTGTAACGTGTTACTTGGAAAAGCCTTTGTGTCTAATCCCCTGCCTCCTCTGTCAAGTCAACCTTACGCAAGAAACCTCTGTGTCTTCTATCGTTTAGAAGTCAGCGTTACACCTCTATGATTCATTACACATCATCAGTCCTTACTTACTGGGCTAATACTACCACATGACATATCTCTACCAACTAGAGGCCTAGGAACATAAACGATAGCTCCAAAAGCTTCTACAACCCTCTATGATTCATTACATGTCATCGCTCCTTAGTTACCCACAAGATTGGTTAGGTTATGACATAATCTGTCTATAGGGGTACTCTGACCTTGGACCTCCTTTCACTTCCTATAGGCTAGGAACCTAGGAGATAGTTCTATGGGATTCTCTTACGTTGACTACAGTTACCAAGCCTGGTAGTCATGGAAAGTCTTGGAAAATGAGAGAACTACACTCCTTTAGCATAAATAGGATTGCCCTTTCCTTAAGAAAGGGCAAGCAGACAATACAGTAAATCGACTATCACATACTTCAATGTCTTTTCCAAGCTTCCAAGCATTGATCTTGTTACTCCTTGTTTCTGAAAAGTCAGTGAGGTGCTAACCTCTGACTTATCCCTGAGTTCTCAGACTCAACATTTGTACAACTTGTCTAAACCACTCCACTACATCATACACTTGATTGCTGTGTTGTGAAATAGTCTAAGCTACAACCCTTTGGCTCTGTTTCCTAAGACAGTGTGTTGTCTTAGTAAAATCCCTTCCTTGGGTGGCTAGATTCTCACATCTGGTGCACCCACCATTACAGCTGTGTTGACTTGCACACACGAATTACACTCACAATCTTGAGACTCATTGGGGATTTTGCCTCCACCCTGTGATTGTTCATTTACTTCCTTGTTGGGAACCACAGACTTATTCTCCTCCTGGGGCACCTCCTGGAAAACTTCACATCGCGCACACTGAACGTGCCCTTGAGGTTTAAGCACGATCCATCCACAATCTACAGATCTGTAATCCCAGTTGTGTTGATCCTCTGTCTGCCTTTTCCCGTCACCATCTCGATCTTCTTCCCATGGTACCACCGCTGCCACATGACCTGCGACCATGCGGTAGAGGGAATGCTTCAAGATGTCCTCTCGCGGCCCTGCCATTCCATGTTGCGTCTCCACAAACGACACTCTATATGCCAGCAGCGCTATACCTCGGATATGTGCTAGGCGTGGCTACAGTTTCTGATTCTCCCATTTCCACTGCTTTTCCCTCTGTGCCCTTCGACAAGAGGCATGCCTCAACTGTGCTGTAGATTTTGCATCCCAATCCGGGGTCCAGGAATTCTTGTCTCTCCCTCACAGCGCACATCTTGGATGTCCTGTGGGTGTGTACTTGGAACCGTTCTTATTTCAGCAGCAGCACATTTGTTTGACATCATCTTTGCTGCCCACCTCAAACCTGCCTGCGCCTCGTCAAACTCTTGCATCTTCCACTGCAACCTCCGCAAACTCTTCTGATCCTCTGGCCATACTTCTATCAGATCATCCCCACTCTGCTCTCTCCTAGCTCCCTTATTCCCAGACCTCACCCCTCGGCTCTCCCCGGCGGTACCCTGGACCTCTCCTCCTCCATTCCGGATACTGTGGGATGGTGGGGCAGCAACTACTCCAGCAAGCTGCTCCCTATGCCTTTTCCCGACACGTCTCTAAGATTTTGGAGGACTGAAGCATGCGAGGATCCTCATCATCATAATCTAGGTGAGTGGATTCAAGTAGAACTGCAGTTGCCAATTGATCTGCAAGGTTGGTGAGTCTCGCTTGAATGACTTCTTCTGGTTCATGTTCCCAGGTCTGAGTTTTCACATGGTGTGTGTCAGAGTCAGGCGCTTGTCGCTCGTTGAGTGGTTGTGTGCATGCCTCATCACGCTCAAAGTGAACCTTAAGTGAAATCTGAGGTGTAACATCTCCATTCTTCAGAACGCTCCTCGGTTGTCCATTCGTACCAAAGATGTAATAATCGTTAGAGCTGTAATCTCCAACTGCCTTGACCTGGTGCATCCAGCTTCGACCAAGCAAAATCTTGTAAGATGTCAACCCATGGATGATGAAAACTTTCAAAATCCATTCCACACCCGCAACTTTAACCAGCAACAAAACATATTTATCAAGGGCATGAACCCCACCATCAGCAGTCTTCATCCTCCATCCAGTCTTGTCAGAATACCAGACACAATCAAGCTTGTAAGGATGCCTCCGCCCTCGGTGATGGAAGGGATCGGAGTGTTGGAGGTAATTGCGGGGTACGGAGAAACACACACAGAATCGTGTGGTAATCTCCGGTCACTGTAATGAATCTCTTACGGGCAGCAGAACAGAGGTTTCAACAATAGAATAATATAATCAATTGAATTACTCACTAAACTACGGGTCTACGTACGCTATTTGTAGGCCTGGGGGAAACCCCCAAAACCCCGAGGGTTTGGGTTCCTACACCCAAACTGAAGTGATACACAGAGCTGAAACCTCAGCTCAGTACTCTGAACGACTGGGGAACTAGATAGTCCCATGGAGAAAAGTGCCATTTTGGGCGCAAAAGACTACCGTATTCCCATGGGATTGTCCGTTTCCCCCAACAGCCCCCTTACGTAGCTCGTAGAAAAGTGATAAAAATAAGGAAATTGGTCGGTGGACTGGAAAATCACCAAGTCCACCACCACCCTCGCCGTCGAAACCGGCAACCAGCTCAATAATGAGCGAGAATCATATAAAAGCTTCTTCGAAGAAGCTCTCCCCCTCTTTCTTTCTCAAATCAATCTTGATTTCTGGCAGCTCGGGGGGGGGGGGGTTCGTCCGCTGGGTCATTTTCTTTTGTCCCTGGCTGGACAGAGACGAAGACTCGGTGTTGGACCTGCTCCTTCTTGCGCTCAGTGTTGTCGCCGAGTTGCTTCTTGTCGCCGCTTCATGCGGCATTGGTGGTTCACCACATCGCACCACACTTTTCTTCGTGGCCTCATCAAGGCCAGCCCCCAATGTGAATGGGGCGCGGCCTTGATGTCGTCTTGTTCGCCTTTTCGGGGCCGGGAACCACGTTCTTATACCCCTTTTTCAACCCGTTTCCAACGCCGCTTCTGCCCGCCCACCCCCCCCCTCTCCCGCCCGCCCAGTAACACGCCAAGAGCTGATATATCCAAAATAGGGCGCCGAGCCCTCGGCGCCCCCCAAAAATTCAGCGCCTGCGGCAAACGGCTCTCGCATGCCATGCGGAGGGTGTCAGGGGTCACTGTCCTCTTCCGTTGAGCGGGGGAGACGGGGGTTCAGGTGTCTTTTAAGTCTGCTGCATCAGATATCCCTGAGTGCAGTGCGAGAACGCTGGTTGCGCCAGCGGTTTGGTGAGGACGTCGGCCAACATATCTTGAGTTGGTATATAGTCAACGCTCATTTTCTTGAAGGCAATCAATTGACGCACGTAGTGATAACGGACGTCAATGTGCTTCGTTCTTCGGTGAGACATCGGGTCCGCAGCGATCGCAAGACTAGCCTGATTGTCACTGAGGATCTGGACTTGATATCCACGGCCACCAAGGAGCTTCCTGCGACCAAGTTCGTGCAGGAGGGTGTGAAGCCACTGTCCTTGCTTGCTGGCTTTGCAGAGGGCAATATATTCAGCCTCAGTCATCGATGTTGCGACGCAGCGCTGCTTCGTCGAATTCCAGCTGACAGGCCCCATATTCAACATGAATATTTGGCCTGATACTGAGTGTCGATCAGTCTGGTCACCAGCGTAGTCTGAGTCGCTGTATCCTTGTAAATAGGGGGTAGAATTGCCCCCTATCCCCCCAAACGAAAGTCGTAAAGTCCTAGTTCCTTTGATGTAGTGCAATACGTGAAGAACCCCGTTCCAATTTCATATCGTAGGTCTCGAGCAGCTTTGACTGAGCTGCCCCCAGGCGTATGCGATATCCGGGCGAGTGCATATAGCAAGCCAGGCCAGTGATCCAACTCCTCGCTGATAGAGGTGTTGGTCGGCTTCAGCTTCGCTGTCGTTGCCCTTGAGCAGCTGCGACTGATCGGTGGACGCAGGAATTGGAAAGGCCGTTGCCATTCCTAGGTGGAAGCGTTTGATAACCTCGTCAATATATCCTTCTTGATCAAGATAGATTCGATGGTTCTTCCGATCGCGGGTCACCCTAATACCAAGTATCATATTGACCTCCCCGAGGTCCTTGATCTTCCAGCGTTTGCTAATCCCTTTGACCACACGGTCAATATCTGATGATTCCTTGCTAAGTATCAACATATCATCGACGTATAACCCGATCAAGATCCTTCGGTCTGGCGTCACGAAGATACTAGGCTCGCGGAAGACTGGCTGGAATCCTAGTTGACCGAGTCCTTTGCAGGCCTCAATATACCATTCCCTCCCAGATTGCTTTAACCCGTAGAGTGACTTCCGTAGTCGTAATACGCAGTCTTCAGGGCAGTAGAGCCCTTCAGGAGGTCTCATATAGACCTCCGCATGAAGTTCTGATTGTGGATAAGCACTCACAACGTCGATCTGCCGGATATTCATATCCTCGTAAGCACCAATTGCTAGGAGAAGCCGGAGAGACTCAGCGCGGATTGTCGGTGAGAAGGTCTCGAGATAATCGTCGCCTGGTATTTGCCCAAACCCCTGAGCGACGAGTCTGGCTTTGAACCTGTCAAGCAACCCTGTCGGTGTGTATTTGACAGCAAATACCCATCGACAACCAAGGGCTTTCTTGCCTCGCGGGAGCTTCGCTCGCTCCCATGTTCCGAGGGATTGAAGCTGCGCCAGCTCTTCCTGGACTGCAAGAGTCTAGTCTGCACCGTGTTCTGGGTCGCTGATCGCCTTCGAATAGCGATCAGGAATCGGCAGCTTGGAAGACGCTGCATGGTGCGCTCCTAACTCTTCTTCGAAGAGCGCTTCGCGCGCTTCTTCATACGGCCTCGTTGGCTGTCTTGCCCGCCTACTTCGTCGGGCGATGAACTCCTCATCGTGAGGGGTTTCCTCGCGCGAAGCTTCCGCTTCTGCGCACAGCTGGTCATCCGCTGTCTCAGACAGCTCTTCGTCTTCAGCAAAGATATCGCCTGATCGATCAGCTTCTCGGTCAAACCGTGAGTTGTCATCAGGCCCAGACATCAACACTGGCGACGGTGACGTTGCAGGTCCCAGTGGAGACCCGTCACAGCTCACCTCTGATGCTACAGGGCGTCGCCGCACAGCGTAGTCGCTGCCGTCGTCGCCGTGTTGATGTTGTTGTGCAAGTGATAAATTATCACTTGCTGCTTCCTGATTGGCTGGGTTGGCTGTGGGGGCGGGTCGTCCCGTGCGGGGAACCCTGGCTGACAGGTCACGTGACCTGCCTGAATCCATGACCGGGATATCCTCACAGGGATTTTCAAGGCCCCCTATTGGGGTATCCCAGCGGGGATTGCTGATATCTCCTGCATCGATGGAGATATCCCCCTGGGGAACAGCTTCCATGGGGTCGAATCCCACATCTTCGTGGGGACCGTTGCTGGCATCAGGAAGATCAAGTCGTTGATCTTCCACGAATCTCCGATGTTGCAGTGAGGATCCGGTCTGCGACCGGATCATATAACCGGTACTGCTTCGAGGTTGGCATGTATCCAACCAACGCAGTCCGTATCGCATTGGGTGCAAGCTTGTCACCCTGCCTCTGATCCAATGAGAGATTGGCGTAGGGAACGCAGCCCCAGACACGAAGGTGAGCGACAGACGGTCTCTTACCGCTGTACGCCTCTTCCGGTGTCTTTCCTCCGGGTCCAATTGGCAGCCTATTCCTCAGATAGGAGGCTGCCATCACAGCTTCAGCCCAGAGCCATTTTGGAAGCTGCGCGCCTGCGAGCATCGCCCTGATCACTGCGACCAGGGCCCGGTTTAGGCGTTCAGAAACACCATTCTGATATGACGTATATGGCATTGTAAACTCGAACAGGATACCGTGCGAGGGCCCAAAGTCTCGCTCAAGAGCTTCGTACTCGCTGCCATTATCGCAGCGAACGATCTTGATCTTCCTGTCGGTTTGGTGTTTCACCTCAGTCCTGAACTCAGTAAAAATACCTCGTAGTTGGCCCCTTGACTGCATAACGTAGACCCAAGTCTTCCGTGTGTAGTCGTCAGTGAACGTCACAAAATAGACGTTCTTACCACTGATTGACGGTACTCTGTAAGGCCCCCAGATATCACTATGTATCCTGTCGAGGGGGGCTTTTGCATGCTCTGATGCCTGTCAATTTATAACCCGCATACTCTTATTGAGCAGGCACTCTCCACACGGGTCCGCCAGATCACCAATTGGTCCTGGCAGACCGTCAACAGCAGTGTGAGCCAAGCTCAGACTCTTTGAGCTCAAGTGTCCGAAGCGTTGATGCCAAATCATGGCATCTTTTGGTGACATCGCCACTGCGCGCAGCGCAGTGATGGTGCCTTCCTAGGTTCCGTTAAGGACGTAGGAACGGCCAACTCGAACGGCGACGCCGATAGTCTGTTCGTCAAGCTCAAGGACCATCTTTCCCTCGCGGGTTGTCCTTGTCATAATACTCCTATCTTGAAGGTGGGGTACTGAGACGAGGCTTCCGGCGAGCTGCGGAACATGCAGCACCTCGTGAAGCTGGATCCGGCGTTTGACACCGTTGACAGCTATATCGAAGCTAACAGTGCCTTCGGCGACAGCTTGGATCTCTGTTCCGTTAGCCAATCTAACAGCGATTGGCTTGCCAAGAGGATAGTAATTGACGAACGCTTTTCTTGCGAATGTCATGTGGCGTGAGCAACCCGAATCCATGATCCAGGAGTCGCCTTGGTCTCTTGCTTCTCCAACCCAGTTCGAAGTGACACTGCTTGGATCCTTGATAGAAGTGACACTGCTTGGATCCTTGATAGAAGCAATCCAAGAGGTTTCCGTTACTGGGGTGGTCCTTATTCCAGCAGCGTTGGCTTCCTCAGACGGTTGGGGTGATAACCCCTTTCCACCGCCTGGTGCAGCGAGCGGGCCAGTCGATGGCCCAGTAGACTTTGGTTCTCCTCTTCTTTTCGAGGAGCAGTCTCGCTGGAAGTGGCCGGTCTTCCTGCAGTGATAACATGCGCGGTTATCACTTTGCGGTGCTCGCCCCCCTCTGTATCCTCCGCGGCCGCTCTTCCACTATTTCCCCTCGTATTTTCAGTACTCGTAGACGCTTGTCGGGCTGATTCGATGACAGCTTTCGACTCCTTGATCTGTTCTTCGATATCGGCAAAATTGGCGATGATATCCTGGTAGTCTGATACTTTGGCAGCCTTAATCTGGGCTGCAGCAATATCATATTTGCCTCCGTGGGCTAACATAATTCTGATAAGGTGACCGGTTTTCGTCAGTTCCGTAGGTCGCTCGTTAGGGTTGATTTGGGCGATATCTTCTTCAAAGTCGTCGAGGGTACTGGCTACGTCGCTCACTGGCATAGTCTTTGAGGGCGAGTAGCTGTTGAAGGTGTCTTTCTTCGCTATCAGCTGTTGAAGGCCATCACGGGCGTAGGTTTTGTGGAGGTAGTCCCACATCTCCTTCGCAGTATCAAATTTGATAATTTTGTCGACGATACTCTGTATGCAGCACTCTATAATAATGGAGCAAGCCCGGGTGTTCCTTCGATCAGCTATTTGATCCTTCCGGGCTTGAGCAAGCTCTGGCAACTCATCCTTCGCAGGAGCTGTGTCGACATCGTCGTCGGTTTTGCAGTCTGGTTCAATGGCGCTCAGGACTTTCCGATCCTTGAGGGTAAGTCGAAGCTGCTTTGCCCAGTTCCTGAAGTTTCGGCCGGATAACTTGGTCATCCGAGGGCGTTCGGCGTACTCCATATTCAATGGAGTTATCACTTTTCCAGGCTTGTTGTACCGGGTTTTGCTGCAGCCAAACGATGGCTTACTCTTGCAGGCTTTTTTGGCTGGGCAATTCTGACTGGTTGCTCAGCTTCTCACTTTATCGATGTGAGATTTTCGGAATCAATTCCTGGTTCAGTATTCCGAAGCTCCTGAGCGACCCGGGCTCATAACCTGTTGGAAGTAATTGCGGGGTACGGAGAAACACACACAGAATCGTGTGGTAATCTCCGGTCACTGTAATGAATCTCTTACGGGCAGCAGAACAGAGGTTTCAACAATAGAATAATATAATCAATTGAATTACTCACTAAACTACGGGTCTACGTACGCTATTTGTAGGCCTGGGGGAAACCCCCAAAACCCTGAGGGTTTGGGTTCCTACACCCAAACCAAAGTGATACACAGAGCTGAAACCTCAGCTCAGTACTCTGAACGACTGGGGAACTAGACAGTCCCATGGAGAAAAGTGCCATTTTGGGCGCAAAAGACTACCGTATTCCCATGGGATTGTCCGTTTCCCCCAACACGGAGTCGGACAGGTTACGGTCACGTGGGGAGAGTTAGGGCCGGTTAGCCGAGTCGGACCCGTTTCAGGTACTTAAGGAGATTGACCCAACGGGGGTTCCTCTCTTTATCTTTTTTGTATCCTTCGTAGTAGACCTATAGGATAGCATCCGTTTAGCCTCTGACTCACACTCTCATATGCTATAATTTTGTCGTGGATTTCACGCGCTCGAGTCTTGAAAACAGGCCGTTCAAGATCATCAACTTCCTCTTCTGCCACTGGTCGTGGTGGAGTTTTGGCTGGCTTCCCTTTCTTGGAATTTCCTGAATTTCCTTGCTGGTCCTCGCGAGGTTTCATGCCTGTTCCATATGCCACTTGCGCGCGAACAGTAGAGGATATGTTGATGAGCTGAGGGTACGTTAGATCTGGCTGTGGCTTCCTATTGTGGAGATCTGCCCAAATGTTATAGGGCGGAGTTTCCCCAATCGCAACAATTGGCCGAGTCCCTATCAACTCTTCAATACCCGTTTTCTTTGGCGCTCTCGGTTTTCTTGAGACTCCTGGAACAGCGTGTGAGGAATCCCCAGGGCGCACATATCCTTCATGACTGTCGAGTGTATCGTTCTCGCAGTGGTCGGTATTCCAATGGCAGGCTCCGTCAAAAGCCTCACTTTGGTCTGGCTGTGGCCCGTATTCGTCCAACTACGCTTCGCAACCTCAATATCTCCTCTTCACACCGAAATTTTACGCCAAAAGCCCCTACCAAGACTCGAGGCAAGACCCCCATTGTGATGATTCGCGCGGTAGGGGCTATTATATTCATGGGCTGATGATTAATTTATTTTAACTATCTACTCCTCCGAACACCGGCCATAAACATATGATGGTGTCACCATTGATGTGCTAAAGCGCTTGACGGCTGAGTCGCTAGAGACATTTGGTAAGGTCAGTCACCGGTGGCACAGGTTGCTGGGGCTCATAGAGCAACCATCATCACAGCCCTCCCTAAAAAGGAAGTGTGTGCTGGACGTAGGAGGGCTGACACCTAAAAAGCGGCCTAAAATACTGCCTCTTAACAAGGCTGTCACCGAAGTGGCTTCCGAGCAGGCTCTTCTAAAAGCTCTACGGGCGGTTCTGCGGGATGACCATGCACACTTCCGGACACCGCAGCAGAAGGAGGCGGTGCGGCTGGCTGCAGCGACGGAGACCCCACTAGTCGCGATCCTACCAACGGGCTGCTGGAAAAGCCTAGACTTCATGATGCCAGCCATGCTGTCCGGTTAGAGTCACGATTAAGTACATTCTCCCGCCTTCGCTCCAAGTCTGCTGCTACTGCCAACTTATAGCTACTCTTGTCGCATTACAGCGCGCATGATTGAGGCGCCCCCATCCTCTACATAACTTAGTACAGTACGATAGGATCCAGCGTCGGAAACTGAATCCCCTTCGCCCGAGTCTCCCTCCGTAGTCTCCTCTGCTCTGCACGTCTCGCTCTCCGCAGATCGTTCGCCCTATCCCTCCGCGCGATCGCGTCGGGACTTAACGGTGGCAATGGAGCCCCCTTTTCCAACATCTCCCGCCGTTTTTTTGCTTCCTCCGCTCGCTTCAATGGCGGCTCCTCATCACCCTGCCCAGTCACACTAACGCTTCCCCGCGCTCCCACCCGTGCTTTTCTTTTAGCTGCCCGTTCCAATCTTCGCTTCTTGTACACTGCTTCGACACGGGAGAGTCCTTCATACTGTGGCTCATTCCACCACTTGTATCCTGGTTGGCCTCTGGAAGGCTTTTGGGGGTCTCGCGCGGCATCATCGGGCCGCCCCTTAGCGTCTGGATGTAGTCCAGCCACGCTCATACTTCCCAGTTCTCCATACATCCGGTTTTTTTTTAATCCCCACTTGCTCAGGTATACCTTATATAGCGCTTTGCTACTCGAGATTAGAACCGCACTTTGTAAAGGGGATTGTCGGCTTAATGTTACTTACTGTGCTTGGAACGCATACTGATCCGTCATGATCTTTATCACACTATCCAGCGTATAATCTTCCACTATATAGAGCTGCCAGATAGTGTGCTTAAACTGTTCCCACTGTCCTGTCTTTGCAGATTCTCCCGTGCCGGGGAGCTCCTGGGGCGTTTGGATATCACCGCTAAGCCGGTTATTAACAGCTTGATCTCGTCTCTGTTTTCTTACCGCAGAACCTTCGTCTGCTAATATCTGAGGTTGTACAATTGGAGGTTCTGGTGCACCTTCGTGCGTCATCTCCGTCCGAGGATATATTTGCTGGCCTACAGGTTCGTCTTCGGTAGGTTGATTCAGTCCCGGCGCACCAACGATCGAACCTTTGGTTCTCGGTCCGTCAGGGTAGTCATTAGCAACCTGATCCAACTCCAGCGCATCGACCACTGAATTCCCGTCTCCCGACGATCTAGGCCATTTCCTCACACTCTTGGGTATGGCTTTGTCGGCCATCATGATGCGAGGGAACAGATGCTGGTCTCTACTAGTCTCCAACGATCTGCGGTAATGTTGCTGCCAAGCAGGGCCAGTGTGTCTAGCATTCTAAAACCGTAATTAGCAAATCCCCCCGAGTTTAAAGCCAGAAATCTAACCTTCTCACTGAACATATTCCAATGCTGAGCAGACCACAAAGGATAGTTCGTCTCAGTGCGGACCCATTCGACCCATGCCAACAGCGCTTGGTTATCTTCTTCTGTATATGTCTTCCTCCCAGGACGAGGTTTTGCAGCTAACCGGGATGTCCTTCCCAATGGCTTCCTTTTCTGTTTTTTATTTCCTGTGCGTTTTCTCAACTTGAAGTTCTGAGCAGAGTCGGATGCGGAATCATCTCGTTCCCAGTCGCTATCGGGCTCATTGTCATCGGTTCCTAGTAGCTCATTATCGTTCATACTCTGGTCTGCATTCTCAGATGCCAAACTCTCGCGAGGGTCACTATGCGACACAACAACCGAGGCGCTCTCAGGACTGCGACGAACCGGATGCGCTGAATTATGCGACGGAACAATCGGGGCATTCTCAGGACTGCGACGCGCTGATTCCGCCGGCAGCGCCATGGGAAGGAATGCCAAAGATTTGGCGGGGATAATGCCGCTGTTCTGATACAGTATATCATCGTCGCTACTGTCGTCGTCGGCAGCGGCGTTCTGCCTGACAGTGTCCCTACTGTAGTCCTCTTCATCCTCTGTGCCACTTTCCTGTCCCAGATCCGGTTCTTGAGTGGAGCCTCGTAGCATCTGTCTTCCCCGGACATGGTAGTCCATACTGTCGCTAGCCTCGTCCACATCATAATAATCTTCCACATTATCTTCCCCGCCATGTCGCGAGAATCCCGCCTGCTCAGGCTCCTCTGTAAATGCCCTCAGAATCCCTCTACCCCTTCCCTTCCCAGCATCAGTTTCATTGTGCATCTCCGCGAGATGCCCATTATCCACTATGATCTCTCCTGTTCGTAAATCGATTTCGTCTCCGATCCCACTAAAATCTTTCCCGTACTTCTCGAAGATAGCCTCAAAAGTTGACTTCAGCTTGTTGTCCAGCTTCTGTCTCGCCGCTTCCATGTTCGCTTCTGGTGCTTCCTCCTCGTAGGCGTCATCTTCAGACATGTCTTCGTACATGTCTTCATCGTCGACCTCGGCTTCTTCAAAGTTTTCGGCCTCCTCATAACTTGTAAACCCCTTCTCTCGCGCATTAACCGCTCCGTAGAACCTGGTAAAGCCATTACAATCTTTGTGACTTGCGCTATTGTCCAAGGTTTGAGGGCGTTTTAGGGAGCTGAAGAATCTGGCTTTCTCTTCGCAAAATCGCTCCTGCGCCGCTGGAGCCGATATACGCTGTCTCTTGAGGGCCGGGTCCATACTGGCGGGCTATAGATTGTAGATCCTCCTTCGAATGGCGTATCGTACTGCGTTGATGTGAATTTGCCGTAAAGTGTCGCAGTCGTTGTGTGCGTTACCTTCGTTCAACTGGAAGACGCGATTTTGGCACGCACGCGTAAAGTGCAGGGTCACGCATAAATAAAGCTCCGACCCGCACCAAGCTAACTTGACCCATCCGCAACATTCCTCAAGGTTACAACTTCCAAAACCTCCACCTCCATGTTCAACTTTCTACTATGAAGCAACCCAACCAACCCACACCCTGAACCATCTCACGATGTATTGCCAAAAACTGCCGCGCTCCCCTCAAGCTCGACGGCTCCCTCGAGAGCCTCAACCCTGCCGCCTTCAACCTTCTCGTCGGTGCGTCCTCATCCCTCCCATCCCTCCCCTCACTACCACGCACACTACTAATACCCGCCTGGCTCAACCCCCCTCCGACCCCCCCCCAATCCCTCCCACCTTTTAGACCCGCCTACGCGCCCGAGCGTAAAACCCTCTACGAAACCGCCTCCACTTACGCATACATACTATGCAGCAAAGCAGAGGTTCGGTTCAGATGATGGACTTCGAACAAGCTGGTGGAGTTTCACGTGATGTAGATGAAGTGCCGCCGCCCTGGCCGTCATTCGATAACTGGATATCCGTAAACGGCTTCCGAGCTGAAATTATGGCTAGGCAGCATCGCGTAGAAGCGCTAAAGAGATACCTAAAACGTAAAAACAGGCGCGGCAATTCGTCGGGAAAAGAAGGCTGGTGGATCTGCGAAATATACGATAAAGGGTAAATCCTAACGCTACCTCGCCACGACTACAAGCTAATTGTATCAGACACCCTTCCACTTCAAGTAGATCATGCGGCCATGCTGTTGCGTCATACCATTCAAGTGCAGAAGTATTGGGCAGGGTCCCAAATGCTAATCGTTGGTTCTCAAACCACCGCCTGGAGGCGGTTGGCGAAAGCGAACTGGGACGCGAAAGCGATTGTGGGACACTTCGGGAGCGGACTCGCGACGCGACACGACCGACCATGAACACGACTGACAACGTAACAATGCTGTAAATATATATAACGTACATGTATAACGTATTTCACAAGCGAGTTGGCCACCCAAGCAAGTTGGCCACCAAAACACCAAAACGCGTCAACTTGACTACAGTCAACTATGCCACAACCAACACAAGCCCAATCCTCAAATCAAGAGGGTAGAATACTATTAGCTATTCAGGCACTAAAGGAACGTCAATTTAAGAGTGTCCGAGCTGCTGCATTATCATACGACGTGTCACGTAGTACCCTTACCAACAGAATGAATGGAATGACCTCCCGACGTGATTCTACCCCAAAATCACAAAACCTAACTTCGTACGAAGAGTCAGCTCTTGTTCAGTATATTCTCGACCTAGATTCGCGTGGATTTCCGCCCCGGCCGCAAGCTGTGCAAGAAATGGCAGACCTACTACTCTCCGAACGAGGTGAGAGCCCTACTGGGAAGAACTGGACTAGTAACTTCATAACGCGTCGTACGGAACTTAAAGCAAAGTTTAGTCGGAAGTACGATTACAAACGAGCAAAATGCGAAGATCCAAAGATAATTGAAGGGTGGTTCACCCTCGTACGAAACACAGTCGCAAAATATGGCATCTTAGAGCAGGACATCTACAACTTTGATGAAGCAGGTTTCGCAATGGGAGTTATTGCTACTGCAAAGGTAGTCACAAGCTCAGAAGCAAAGAGCCGTCCGAAGACTATACAGCCAGGGAATAGAGAGTGGGTGTCAATTATCCAAGGTGTTAATTCGTACGGATGGGCACTCCCGCCGTTCATTATTTTCAAGGCGCAGAATCACCTCTCAGCTTGGTACGAAGACTCAGGATTACCAGACAATTGGGTGATTACGCTTAGTGAGAATGGGTGGACTTCAAATTCAATTGGGTATGAGTGGATTCAACACTTCAATCGACATACAAATGCTCGTACGGTCGGAACCTATCGCCTTCTTATTCTTGATGGACATGAGAGCCACATCTCTGCTCAATTTCAACACTACTGCACAGAACGGAAGATAATTACCCTCTGTATGCCACCACACTCATCACACATTCTTCAGCCTCTTGATGTGAGCTGCTTTGCGCCACTAAAGCTTTCGTACGGAAAGCAGATTGAAACCTTCGTACGGAACCGGCTAAACCACATCACAAAGCTTGAGTTCCTCTCTGCATTCAAAGAAGCATTCAAAGCTACGTTTACAGAGCAGAACATCAAGAGCGGATTCCGAGCTACAGGACTAGTTCCGTACGAGCCACAGAGTGTCCTCTCTCACTTAAATCTACGCTTAAGGACTCCAACACCTCCTATAGTTGAGAGTGACAATTGGACTTCAAAGACTCCTCAAACTATAAGGGAGCTTAACTTTCAAACAGAGCACATTAAGAACCGCATCGTACGACATCAGAATAGCTCTCCTACCTCAATTAATGATGCTGTTAGCTGCCTTGTTAAAGGGGCGGAAATGATGATGCATTCTGCTGTTCTACTTAAGGCAGAAGTTAAGGCTCTACAAGCGGCAAATGAACAGAAAAAGAGGAGGGAAAGGAAGCGCAAGAGGCGTATAATGCAAGGGGGCAGTCTCTCCGTACGAGAGGGAGAGGATATGCTTCAGAGTGCTGAGGTAGAAGCTCAAGTCCGTACGGAGGTGGCAAGTGAGCATTGTCGGCAGGTGGGTTCTACAGGCCGACAGAAGCGCTGTGGCATATGTGGTATTATGGGCCATAACTCCCGTACATGTACGAGGCACAAGGATTCAATTACGATCGAATAAGGGTCATTATGTAGGGTGGTGGTGTAGTAGTAGGCAGTAATAGTCAATTTTGGTGTTTTGGTGGCCAACTTGCTTGGGTGGCCAACTCGCTTGTGAAATACGTTAGCGAAAGCGCCAAACAAGCGAAAGCGCCAAAATGATGCGGTGACCAAACCCCCCAACTAAATGTTAAATTCCTCAACAACAAAACATGCCCCATAAAAACGATGAAAGCCAATTAGTGCTAGCTATCCAGGCTATGCAAAGCGACCCAAAGTTACGCCTTCGAGTTGCTGCTAGGATCTATTCTGTGGACCACCGCAAGCTAGGTCGTCGTCTAGAAGGTGTACCTTCACGACGCGATATCCAAGCCAACTCACGGAAATTAACTAACCTAGAGGAGTCCGTCCTTGTTCAGTATATACTCGACCTAGCTGCCAAAGGGTTTCCTCCTCGGCTGTCTGTTGTTGAAGATATGGCAAGTCGACTACTTGCAACACGCGACGCGTCACGCGTTGGGTCGCGTTGGGCTTCAAACTTTGTTAAGCGGCGTGTAGAGCTCCAGACACGCTTTCAGCGCAAATACGACTACCAGAGGGCTAAGTGCGAAGATCCAGAAGTTATTAATGGCTGGTTTGAGCTTGTGCGTAACACAATTGCGAAATATGGTATCGATGAAGCAGATATCTACAACTTTGATGAGACTGGGTTTATGATGGGCGTTATCTCAACTGCTATGGTTGTAACAAGCTCAGACGGGCGGGCAAAAGCAAAGAAGGTACAGCCTGGTAATCGGGAATGGGTTACAGTAATCCAAGGCGTTAGTTCTCAAGGTTGGGCAGTACCACCATTTATCATTGTTGCAGGCAAAAACCACGTTACATCTTGGTATGAGAATAGTGGATTTTCAAGCGATTGGGTGATTTCTGTTACTGAAAATGGCTGGACTACAAATGAGAGAGGCATGGATTGGATTCAGCACTTTGAGAAGCATACAAAGGCCCGGAGTGTTGGTGGTTATCGCTTGTTAGTCCTTGATGGTCATGAGAGCCACCACTCAGATGAGTTTGAGGAGTACTGCAAGGAACACAACATTATTACGCTTTGTATGCCTGCTCACTCTTCTCATCTACTCCAGCCACTTGATGTTGGCTGTTTCGGCCCGTTAAAGCAGGCCTATGGTCGGCAAATTGAAGATATGATGCAGGCTCATATTTCTCATATTACAAAGGATGACTTCTTTCCTGCCTTCCACGCTGCATTTAACACTACAATGACGGAAAGTAACATTCGAGGCGGGTTCCGAGGGGCAGGGCTTCTTCCATTTGACCCTGAGAGAGTGATATCTACACTTGATCTTAAGTTAAGGACACCAACGCCTCCAAGCTCCCGCCCAGGTACTGCTCAACCTTGGGTTTCTCAGACACCAAACAACCCAATTGAAGCTATGTCACAGTCTACATTTATTAAAACTCGGATTTCACGCCATCAAAATAGCTCTCCAACCTCAATCTATGCAGCTGTTGACCAGTTTACAAAGGGTGCATCGCAAATAATGCATCAATTAGCACTGCTAAAGGGAGAGAACCAAAACCTACGACAGGCAAATGAAGTACTAAGCAAGCGCCGGAGAGCTAGGAAAACACGACTACAGCAAGGAGGATCACTTAGTCAACAAGGGGCGCAAGAGCTACAGGATGAGAGGGATGTTGTGCAGCAGGTAGAGCAGGAAATAAAATTATCTACCCTCACGACAAACATTGCGATAAATCTACCACAACATTAGAAATCAATTGAAACTACTCGGAGTCCTCTTCCTCAGAGGTGTCTATTACAATCTGACACGTGCGCGCATTGTGCCCAGTCTCACCACACTTGCCACAGCGACGGGCACGGGTTTCTTCCCTTGGCTTCCGACCACGGCTTGCCCTTATTTCTTGGCGCTTTCGCTTGTTTGGCGCTTTCGCTATACATGTACGTTAAGTTATAGAATTAAATAATTAAAAAAGATTTGGATCAATATTGTCAGGCAGTGATTGATCATCACAGCCACCGTCACTTGCATCGTGAATCATGTCGTAGTCCAAGCCTGCAAAGTTCACGTACCCACTCTCCTCGATGGCTAACAGTCGGTCCGCCTCCTCCTCCTCCTCACGTTTCTTCTGTGTAACGTCCGGGTCAATGATTTCTGTACGTAAGCCAATTGGTGGCTCCGTGTCTGGGTTACTTTTTTGAAATTCATGTAGGTCCTTTTTCCGTGTACGTTCTGCCTTCCGTGCATCGATGCCAGCACGGAGCTGCATCTTACGCTCAACGTTCACCATGCGTGTTCTCTCTCTTTTCTCCCGTGCTTCTTCTAAAAGTTGCTCCTT